GTGAACTTTTTCAGCTTTTGAAGTGGAGCATGCTGCAAATGAGACATATTGCTTTAGACTCTTGGAGGAAACCAGAGGACCCAAAGAAAACCCACGTAGGCAAACTAAACACAGGAAGAGCCCAAGATGGTTCAAACACAAAGCCACAAAGCTGACAGGACTAACCACTGCATCAAGGTGCTACCCACGACACTAAGATGGAAATTTAATGGAAAATGTGATAACCTCTTATAAATCTGAGGTTTAATGGCTTATCATTTTATGTGGAAACAGCTTTACTATATATACTGTGACCCCATTGCATTTTTTGCCGTTTGCTTTAGACATTAAGATTTTATCCCAACACTTTTTATATTGTACCTGTTTTTAAAAAATCTCAAAGATGTTACATTGGATGATGACACTGGATGATGAAACTGAGAAAACAGTCATTGTCATTACAGTTTAAAGGGACTATTTATTCAGTGGACAGTAGTTCCAGTGAAAGCAGTTAGGTTTGTGGATTGTCCAGAAGTTGTGTGTGATTTTTTGAACTATTAAGCTCTATCAGAAACATGTTTAGGGGAATTTGCGAGAGGTTTTCATCTCATCTGTTACTTATTAAACATGAATTCATGGGATCTTGTCTAAATATGGGTAAAACCGCCAATTATTTCCTTTTTTGCTAGAAGTGCACTTCAGTTTTCCAGCCATTCATCCTCAGTGAAAAATGAAGAGGTGCTAACTTACGGCAGCTGTATTCATCCTCTCCTGTGGGACAGTCAACGACTCCATCGCAGCGCATTATGGACGGGAGGCAGTTATGATCTGAACACTGAAAATAACCAAGAGGACAAAGGACCTGAGGAGGAAGAGTTCCGGGTACAACAGTGGGACAATGCTCTTCATCAGACTTATCAGCACAGTCGGGCTCCGTGTCACACAACCAGCTCTCTGGGATACACTGGAAGGAGTATGCACACTGAAACTGGTTCACACCACAAGTCAGTGGCTGAGGAGTCACAGGTTCTGAGGTGGAAAATCACAGTGGAGAGATGCATGCAAAAGGGTTAAATAAACTTGATTTTCAGTCAAATACAGTAAAAATCCCCCATTGATAAATCCCAGGATTGTTTTTGAAAGTATGTTAATGTTTTTTTTGAGACCACAGAGGCTTTGTCAGAAAGCCAGTGAAAGAAACAGTTTGGGGTGGTGGGAGGACAGAATGGTGAGGGTGAGGAAACAACACAATATAAATGTAATTGCTTTTCCTCCCCATTGCCCTCCATGCTGTCCCTTGGCATTGACCCATTCTCTGCATTGAATTCATATGGACCTACAGGGCAACAGGCTCCATTAACTCACTACACTTTCCCCGAGGGTTCACACTATTTATATGGAAACTGAGGAGACGAGCATAGATGTTGGAGGACAGGGAAAAATTGGGAAATGGGAGAATGTGAAAACTGGAGGAAATGAAATGAAAAATGAGAAGGGTGCTAGAAGGATAGGAAATAAGGAAAAACTAAATAGAAGGGCAAAGAAGGCGAAAAACTTTCAGGTCTTTACCTCCAACTATACACTCTGCAGTGTAGGAAATGTCATCCAGGGCGATGTCTGTCCACATGTCTCCACCCACCTGGGCCTCAAAGGTCACTCTGAAGGGTACCGTGCTGGACACGATGACATTAGCGTATGTCCACTGTCTGCCATGGTTTCCAGTGGCTGCCCACATCAACAGACGGGTACCGCTGGGTCCAACAGTAAAGACCTGGTGAGTACAGGTGGCACAAAGTGACATTTCCATTTGATTTGTAACAATATGTTTGAGTGAGAACATGAGAACATCATCACCATACAAAATGTATTATAATCAAACAAACAACATAAAAGAAGTTTCTTTCTCAGTCTTTAAACATTTTTCCTTCAGTGGTGACAGGGTGTTTACACATCACCGTTACATGCAATAGAAGTATGTGCATTCTTTGCTTAAATAAAACCAGTAGAACTGCAGTGTAGAAAAACATAAACAATTGGAGTACTAGTAATAGAAGCGCTATAAAGCTTCAGTGTTTTCGTGTGTCATACTTTATGCATTTACGTGCAACATGTACATAAAAGATGTCTGTAGCCACTGTGATGTTACCGAGGGCCTCAGTCATGCAGGTCTTAAGACCAGTCTGCAAACCTCTAAAAACCTCTGGTCACAAGGGAAAAAACTGTATTCCCCAACTGGTTGGCAAGTGATTGCTGGAGGTTGCTAGCTGTTGCCAGGTAAAATTGGTCTCAAAAAGTGTGCTGCATCAAAAAACTCCAGATTATTTGTACTTCTCTCACTGCAGCCAGCTTAGGCTCCAGTCATAGGCCATCCTCTTGAAAATGGAATTGAAACATCCTCTGGTTCAATTCAATTTTATTTATATAGCGGTAAATCACAACAGCAGTTTTATATTGTGAGGTAAGACCCAACAATAATACAAAATGGTTGTTAGGTTAAATGCATATTCTCCTATCATTTAACAAGTGGTTGTTGGCAGATTGCTGTGGTTGCTGGTTGTTTTCAGACTTGTCTGCAAACACTCACAAACTAACTATGGAGCTGTAGTGAAACTTGGAAAAAGTGTGGCATAAGCTGGAAAATGTTGGTTCTCTGAGTAAAAGTAGTGCTTTTCTGTTAACAAACTACAAATAATCTTCACACACTGCTAGCAACCAAAGCAACTGAGAGGAGGTTTTCATTGGAGCACTCCAAATACAGGCCATTCTTTGTGACCAGTTTCACATGACAACTGAGACCAGCATCGGACAACCAATTGCCAACCGGTCAGGAAATACAACCTTCTCCCCTAGCGATTGGTGGTTTCCAGGGGGTCGCCAATCTGTCACTAGCTTTAGGACTGTGTGGCTGGAGCCTGACTTATTTATGAGGTTCTGATATGAAACTTTAATCTGAGTTATTTGGCTACTGTCATCTTATGTTATTTTCCTTTATTTCTTCTTATTCTTTAAAATTTTAAATGAAATGAAATAAGTGAGTGATGGATCTGGCTGCGAAACTGAGGACACTCACTCTCATAGGGTAGCACCTTGACTACAAAGTCACATGCTGCTTAATCATCGTTAAATTACTCTAGATTGGAGCATAATTTTAAAATTGTTTTATTAAACAACTAACTAACAACTTGGAACACAGCTACACACACATATACAAAACCAAAGCAGTTGCTACCTGCTCGTCAATAAAAAAGACAGGTTTAAGGCACTTTACTGTTAGCTTTATTGAACATACCTTAATTTGACATTAACTTGTAAAGATGGAGAGACCTTTGTCTTTGTACACTTACAAAACTTGGCTGCCAAACTGATCCAAAACTAAAAACACCATCTCATCATTTTTTAAAATGTATTTTAAGATTTTATTGATTAGTACAAAGACCTGAACGGCCTCTTTTCCAGCTACATCTCTGATCTCTTATACACACACACTGCACTTTAAGGTCCTCAGGCAGTGGTCTGTTTTGTGCTCCAGAGGTCTGGCTGAAAACTAAAGCATACAAAGCATGTTCAGTCAAGGCTTCTCCAACAGTCTGCTTGAGTAAATCAGGTCAGCTGAATCACTGACCTCCTTTGTATCGTCTCTTAAAACAGACTTTTATGGGAGAGTATTCCTTTGTTTAGTTGAGTTTCAATTTAAAAATACACTTTTCAATATCAGAGGTGTAGTGGAACAGAAGCAAAAAGAAGCACGAAATGGAAAAACTCAATTAAAGTACCGTAGAATATCCTTCCTTACAATACTTTCTGATGGCTTATTTCAAAAGTGGAAACTCTGAAGGTTTAATAGTTGTTTTTGATTAGCAATACAGTAATTTATGCATAATTTAGAGCTGTGAGTTTTTGAGTAGTTTTGTTTATAATTCATGTAGATTTCTTGTAAGCGCCTCATCTGTGGCTACGCATGGAGTACACTTCCTGTCTAAGTAGAGCTTTTAGCAAATGCTTATTGTTTGTTGTTTTGAAATTAACCCATTTAACAAAGAGACCTAAAAAGACATGAAAAGACTGATATGATAATGACGTTTGTAACCTGACATGCTTTGATGGATTATTTGCAGGAAGAAAGACGTTCATTCCCTCCTTTGGGTATCAGGTGACTGACAGTAAGCAGAGCAAAATATGTTGATAAGCTGAGTAAAAGAGGAAAGAAATCTCTGACAAATCCAAATTAAGCCTTCATTTTGGATCATTTCTTAGCAGGTGACAGTTAAAAAAAAAAAAAAGCCTGATGCCCAAAAGCAGGAAACAGAAGAGAAATTTGTCTGAGATGAGGTCACCTTCAATGTTCCCATCCTATCAGAACCATGCATGAAGAACCAGAAGCGCAGGTGACACAGGCCGATGCTGGCAGGAAACGGACTCCTGGTTGTCACCTTGGCAACATCGCCCTCGTGCTGAATGGCTGAGTTTATATACAGGAAGTTCCCTCCACCACCTTTGGAGATAAACGCAGTACTTTACAATTGCAGAACATTTATGTAAGGCATGAGTAATATCTCAGTGCGATGAACGATGAAGCTGAAACGGCAAAGGAAAAGCCACAGCCAAACCCAGCTCAACCATCAAATTTCAGCTTTGCTGCAGGAAAGAAATCCAATAACCTTATTCTGCTGGTTCAAATATGCACGATATTTAGACGGAGGAAGGCTGTCGTTAAATGTATCCTGCAGCCAAAAGCTGCAGAGAGCTTCTTCAGCTCGGCTAGGCTTGGAGATGAGACAGCATGTGTGCGGTGCCAGAACAAAGTGGGAGTTTTCCACATGAGTTAAGGGGGATTTAAGGCCATCACAATCCACAGTGCACAAAAAAACCTGCTCACACCCACAACACAGATTCCGCTGCGGTGAATCAAATCATAAAAGTCAAAACAAAGTCTGTGCATCTATCCAGGCAGAGCTCGTTTTCCAAGAACGTGTACACGCATGTGCTCCATTACCTGATCCTATAACGACAGGATATTTGCAGAGTCATGCCTTTGTCCATGTGTTTTTAAGCTGTAAGATCACGAGTCCATCCAGCCCATCATTCATCCTTCCGATCAATAACCTCAAATGACCGATCAGGAATAGCAACCTAGTGACAGCCAGTACAAGGTGGAGTTACAGCTGCAACTCAGAAGACAACAGCTGGTTCATTGAGTGCACTGTCACCCATGAAAAATGCTGCTTTGTCCTCAGCATTACGGCTCTCATGTGGCATGCAGGGACAAAATAGCTGCTGCTGTGTGTGTTTCTTTACCTCCTTACTTTCTCCTTAACAGTTTTCACCCGTGCGTTCCACTCATGCTGCTTGTCGTCCTCATTTCAAACTGGTCCGTCATCATTCAAGGCCTTAAATAAAAAGGGCGTGCTTGGAGAAGCCACTCGCTCATTTTCTCTACCCCTTACACAGCCTGAGACAGGAGTGAGCAATTGGTACAATTTTATGTTGCTCATGTCTTCGGAAACAATAGCTGCTAACTGTGCTGTAGCAGACAGATCTGTGGACGTGCACTCATGCACATCTGTGCACAAGGGGATGGAGGAGAGGGGAGAGTTCCAGTTTAATCTTGGAGAGATGCTAAAGTGTATATTTACCAGTTTACTCATATTTAAACTTGCTCACATACAGCAATAACTGATTTAATCCCTGGGCAACAGCATATCAGTACACAAGTTAATATTAATAGTAGATGCCTGAATACATAAATGCACTGAGTTGCTGAAATGTGATTGGCTGATTAGATATTTGCATTAATAAGCAGTCGAGCAGGTGTAGTCAACAAATGTATTTTCAGCTGGTGAGTTATTGATGCCTTGAAGTCTTACGGAAATTTTGATTAACATTGCTTCGCATAAATGTGGGTAATTGTTGCCAAAGTGTCGTTACCTTTCAATTAATCAGTTTAAAAAACAATATTTGAAGCAGCTTTGCTTCATATGATAAGCAGGAATGCTGTTAAGCTCAGTTTGACTCAGACTGATATTGATCAGGAAGTATTTTTAACCCTGCCTTCATGTCGGTGTCACACAGTCCTATTTTCCAGCTGTCAAGTTGTAATTACAAAGGCGCTGCCAGAGAGCTGAAAACATGGAGGGTGTCAGGAGAATGCAGATGTTGTCTGCTCCTAATTTTGAGAAATTGTTTGTTTTTTCTGCCAGTGTTATTAACAGGAACAAACTAGGAGGCTGGCAGAAGCATCCGATCCGAAGATGCTCATATTGTAATTCTGGGTATCATGTAAGTGACACAAGGATGGAGGATTTTTTCAGACAAAGCCAAACATGAGGAAAACAGAATAAAACTACCCCTCGGTGGGCTTTTCTATAGACTTTTTGGATAATTAAAGGAAATAAGTTCAGGGAAAATCAGTTTATGATACATTATTTGTTCAGTAAGATGATGCTCAAAAATTCTACTTTTATGAACCTCGACGCATAAATGGAACAACTTTTGTGTAGTTGGTTAGCGAGCGCCTTCTGTGGGTTACATAAAAGAACTTAAAAATACATTAGTGGAGTACTTCTATGTATTTTATGCCGTAAAACAACACATTGTGCTAATTTCAGACCTTATTGCAGCCAACCACCCAAAAAGCCATTATAAAAACCTTCGACTTACTTTGAGAAAAGGAAAGCAGAAGTAAAAGCACATTTTTCTTGTTGTGTATGGTCATATTTTTGGTAAGATTTTAGCAGAGAGCAGCTGCAGACCTTGGCTGTGGTCGGTGATAGGTCCAGCCCCTGCTGTCTCAGTACTGGAACCAATCCTCCAATCAAAGTCATCATCAGGGTCTTGAGAAAGTTGGCATCTCTCTTTCCACTGGTCTCCCTCCATGTTGAAGCTACAAGCACCTGGCGAGCTAATTATTTTGTCTGCCAGAAAGAAAGAAATTGAAAGATGAAAGGAAAGAGTTTGCAGTCCTGTTTCAAAGTTGTCCTTCTGCTCTCCAAGAAGGGACCTATTTATCATTTCTACTCACCGCAGTCAGCTTCGTCCGATTCATCAGCACAGTCGGCCTTGCCGTCGCACACCAGGTGGGACTCAATGCAGTGGCCGCTGCGACACACAAAATCTGTGGGCGCAGGACAACCAACGGCCTCCACAGTGGCTAAAACACACAGATAATTACAATGAATAATCATAATTTCTATTATTCCTCAACAATTTCATCCCCATTTTCTAATCCAGACAAATTAAATCTGACATGAAATAAAATGCTGTGATGAACAATTTATTAATAAAACACAGACTTCCTGTGCTCAGCACCAAAGAACAGCAGCGGAGAAGAAGGTAAACAAAAGCAGACAAAGGCCTGTCAGGGAAATCAAAGCCCCCTTCCTCCTGCACCGCCTTGTTTGAGATGGAACAGAGAGCAAGGAAAACAAATCAGGTGGATCACAGACAGCACACACACACATTAGCCACGTCTGTGCAGATGTGTGTGTGTGTGCGTGGTTAAACTTCAAAGGCAGCGACATTAAATGATGAGTGAAATGAGGAAAGAGTTGAATTTCATTCCGGGAGGTCAGTGGGGTTAAAACCCATCATATAATAAACTGAAAATCCATTTTAGCGAGCACTCAAAGTTGATGGAAGTTGTCTGTCTGTGTCATTTGGCTTTGGACAGACAATTTGTCTGCTTGTGTGTCTGCAGTCTGTTTTGATCTATGCCTCCGCTTAGATCTGCAGGTCAGTATTTATGTTCTCCTGTGTGTGTTTGTTTATACGTGTGCACTGGAGATGGAGATGGAAAAGAGTCGGCAGAGCAGGAAACATCCCCCCTGGTGCCCAGCCTTGTGCCAGGTCCTGTTTAATGTACAACATCTGTCTCAAACATAAATATCAAACGGCGTCTGTCAGCGACTGTCGTCCCAAAGACAATCAAACTCTCCTCTCGCTTCGAGACCCAACAGTTCTGCCTTTCTTTTTCTCTGAGTGTGCCAGCGGCAGAATCAATTTCATACTCCAAACTATCAGCTGGAAAGATCATAAAATAATTTCACAGCATAGTTATATCGCGCTTATGAAGCTTATTGGAAGAATACTTTGATAAAACGAAAGCAGAGAGGAAGGCTTGAGAGAAACTGAAAACAATTGAATCCACTTTGTGAAATTCAGGCTGAAATCTTTTTTAGTTTTTATTTTCTCAACCACTCTAACTGCTGGAATTATTTATTTTGTTGCGTTAAGGCACCTGGGTTGGTGCGGGTTTACATCATGCATTGCTTTACTTTAATCTCACATTTACAAAGAGACTGATTCATGGGTCCAGCTTCTTTTAAAGGCGAGATTACGGCTATTCTCCAGACTTCAGCAAACATGAGCCGCTATGAACACAAAGTTAATAAAATACATTTTCCTCATGCTTTTAAAAGTTTAGTTGAATTGAAGCTGCTTTTTAAATTTAAGAAGCAATAAGAAAGATTTGCACTGCCACTGTGCACAAAGCGACGGTAATATATGTGCAGGGGTTTGCCGAGCGCCAGCGAGCCTGTGATTACTTTACCAGGTGGTGAGATTTCCAGCTTTTGAAACTTTTCCTCTCCACTGCTCCTTTTTTTTAGGACAATGAAATTTAAAGACCCTTCCTATCTCCTCTGCTCACCTACGATAGTGCCTGCAGTGCGTTATTTATCATTTACCTTTGCTGGCTGCAATTCACAGTTAATTAGTAAATTACTTGTAAACTATACCATTGAAAACTGCAGATGCAGATACATGTACATAAATAATATGTGATATAAATACGCTGTCCAGCCCAACTAGATTTAACTAAGTAAAAATAAGGAAGAGCCATTGATGACATACCCAAATCACTTCTCCAGGTCGCTTGTTTTAAGCTAAATGCTAACAGCAACATGCAATTTAAACATGCTAGAATTTGCTGGTTATCAGTCATTTTCCATATATCTGCCAAAAGCATCTTTAAAAAAAAATTGCACGTTCATAATTGTACGCAGGCATTTAATTGACATAACTAATTTTTACATCACTACAACTTTTACATTTTTATTAAAGTCCACAAATGCTTTGATGCTGGTTCAACCCATTTTAAATTAGTGTTTAAAAGCGTTATATAATCAATAGCTTTTTTCAAATGTACATTTAAAAATGACATGTAATCATAATAATATTGAACAAACAATCGTTTGGAGCAAAACCATCAGTGACAAAATGAGCAGTAATAGAAATGCTAGTAATATTGTCATTAATCTCCCCAGGTGTATGAAACATGGGCTTATAGTGACCCAATTTCACCTGAAATTTGCCTTCATAGTGCTTTCATAATTATTTTATTGTAGTCCAGTCTATATGCAAAACTTGTTGTGTACTGTTTGTGCATGCTACCTACTTGGGGCACAGTCTATGTACTCCAGGTCATCTAAGGCCGCTCCACCGCTCACGTCCTTTAGGCGCACCACCTCAAATATGACTTCAAAGTTCCTGAGCTTCCTCAGGGGGATCTCTGCTCGGTTCCACTTATTGCCCTGATGTCCCGTTTGATTCCACACCTCCTTTAAATTATTCTCCATCTGTGGAGAAGAGCAGCGATGAACAAAAAGAGGCTCACGTGGTAGCATTTCACATACTATGGTGCTGCAGTCTCATTTCAAAGAGCTACAGCAGTCATTACTGTCAGAATTTTTTTTTTCAAGCTTTAAGCCTCATGTCGAGAGTGAAGAACTTCTTGGTCAAAACGTGCTGAATCAGATATGTGGACAGAGTGCTGCTGCTGAGAAAAAGGGAATGGCATCTAAGAGAAGTCATTAAACTCTCATTAGCATTAGCATAACATTGTAGTAACAATTCCCCCGCCTTGAGACCTGCGACTCACATTTAAACCCTGCTTTCTGAGTATAGTAATAGATTTCTCTCATGTCACATATGGAAAATATTAAAAGACAAACTGACGTGTATTCCTCTGTAAGCCCACTATGCCTTTTCCCATGGTACTTGCCAGGCACTAAATCATGACTAATACAGCTTGGAAACAGCAAATTTGACTTTGGGTTTAGTGGACGTGCCTTTTGACGAGCCGGCATCTCATCGCTGGTTTTTATTGTCATGTCAAAAGCATCAATGGGACTTTTATAAAGCTCTCTCACTTCATATTAAAATACTTTGGGCATAAGAGTAACAGGATCTAGCGAGGTGATGGTGAAGGTAGTAGAAAATGCAATGGAATTTTAACAATAGTGTAGTTCAGATAAGATAAAACAGAACCGTACTCTACATACACCGATTTTAAAAAGTAATGCTGAATGTTAGATGAAGTGGATTAAAGAAAAAACAAAACTCGAGAAACTAAAGAATAAATATATCAAGACAAAAAGTATCAACAAGAGTACAATGTCAAAGTAAAGTCTTCAAATTGTTGTTGCATGCTCCGGTCAAGCCAACAAAGACAAATAAAGTAACTAAGTATAATTAAAGATGAGTAAAAAAAAAATCCTGAGAAATTAAAACTCGGCATGAATGTTTGGGATTATTTACTTAAAGATTTCTCACCTAGATTATGTAATAAAAAGATAGAACTACCTGAAGTCTTTGGGCTCATTAACTGTGGGGTCGATGGTCCTGTGATGGTTAAGAAAGAAGTGTGATCCGTGTTCAGCCTGAAAAAATGTTTACTTAAATAGAAGCGGTGGTGCATAAAACACTGTGTTTTGCTACTGTATACAATGTTGTACTTATGACAGATGATCCAAGTCAGTAAAGTACTGCAGATCATTTCCTGAATTTGTTCATCTAATGTGATCCTCGTCTTTGCTCAAACACGAAACCCTTAAAGCTGAAAACCTTCCCATAAAATATCTGCATCTGTATGTCGCTTGTGGAAGATTTTCTTTTTATTTGAGTATTTCATTTGAGGATGAATGGTTACATTGTTGCTCCTTGTTTGGCCGAAGGGGATGAAACAAATCCCTGACTGCATGTCTAACCAGCCCCACTCGATTTTAGCTGAAACCTTTTCTGTTTTCAATAACGGGACCAGAATGAAGCAAAACAGACTGCTTAGCAGAACGCTTCTGTGGGCTAGCAAGACAAAAATGACATGCTTGGTTTATCAGAAATGTTTTCAAACTGTGTAACGTCATCAGGGATGTGGTATAAGTGTTTAGGTTGGCAACAGCGTGTCTGAATAACTCGCCCATCTACAATAAATAGCAGCACATGGCCACTTTTAAAACTTTTTTATTGAAAGAATGTGGAACCGCTTGGAGTTGGTGTAGCTGAAGAGTCTCTGATGGGGTTAGATCTGCAAAAGCATTGAGCCAAGAATAAGAATGAAGTGTAAGAAATGGCAGCTAATTGTTGGCAAACTGAGCCAGTATGGATCAAGACTGACTTTGTACAACTTTTGAGAAAAATACCCAAACATCTATAAGGTACTGAGCAAAACTTATACAGCAGCACTTCTCCAGACCTTCTGAAGGTCTTTCAAAGTTTCTCTTTTTCTTTGATCTACTTTTTTACTCCTTTTCAGTCCAGTCCTTGAACCTCCCCAAGGTCATGGTGAAGAGAGAGGTAAGTGTAAAAGCGAAGCTCTCAATTTACCGGTCGATCTACATCCCTACCCTCACCTATGGTAGTGACCGAAAGAACAAGATCGTGGATAAAAGCGGCAGAAATGAGCTTCCTCCGAAGGGTGGCTGGACTCTCCCTCAGAGATAGGGTGAGAAGTTCAGCCATCTGGGAGGGGCTCAGAGTAGAGCCGCTGCTCCTTCACATCAAAAGGAGCCAGCTGAGGTTGGAAAGGCCTTGGTGTTCCCCTGGAGAAGCTGGAGGAGGTGGCTGGGGAGAGGGAGGTCTGGGCTTCTCTGCTTAGGCTGCTGCCCCCACGACCCGGCCTCGGATAAACGGAAGAAGATGGATGGATGGATGTTTTTTATTTGTTTGTTGAGCCACTTAACACTGACCTGATGAATCATTTAAAGGGATGAACCAGTATTATGTATATACAACTTAGCAAAGAACTAATTTTTGGTATTTTTAGGCACTTTGTTACAGCAACCATGAAAACATATAATTAGTTTTCTTTATTTTTCAGCTAAATCTTTGAAAAATACCAAAAATAAGCCAGTTTGGAATAGATAAAATTGTATTTTTCACCAACAAGATGAATCCAGAAGAGCTGTTAGTCATTGGCTATATTAGGACACACTACACACCATGAGGAATACAGTCCTTGAATAAATGGTTCCCATTTTCCTAGAAAAATTTATATATATCTATATCTCTATATATGTATCTATCTACCTCTCTATCTCTCTATGTATATATATGTATATATAAAGCCTTTTGCATAGTATTGTATATTCTGCTTTGTTCTGCCTCTAGGATATCAGTTATAGTTGAAACTCAATCTTAGGTTCAGGTCAGTACGGAGAAGAGCATTAATGGGGGTGCATATAGATTTAACTACCTATTCTGCAGAAGCTCATGAGTCTGATATTAATACTGCTGTAGCTCTAATAATTTACGACGGCTTCCTCGTCCTCTGCTCTTTGTAAAGGTGATGGGAAAACTGCAGGTCTATAGCGTCACATAATTATTCAGTTTTAAGGGCAGTGCTGCAGTGGGGAATGAGTCGCAGGAGTGTGAAATAAACACCACCCCTAACAAAATAAAGCAGCAAACATGCTGCACTTGAGGTGGCAATATGTGACCAGAGGCTCGACTGCAGTGAAAGGAAACCTGGTGTAATATACTCAAACGCAGAGGACAAGCAATGTCACTTTCTACTCTGCGGTTGGAAAGCCTATTAAAATGCACCCTTGGGTGAGGCTTGCACAGACTGTCTTCTCTCTTTATGCCAGTGAAGCCCTGGCTTGAAATAATCTTGTTACTGTGAGAGTAGAGCGTACATTAATAGGCAGCGTTGCAGCAGGACTTATCCAGATTTATGCCACGGAGTAAAGGCCCAATCCATAAAAGCAGCCAGAGAGCGAGTGACGAGCGTGCGTTACAGGCATACGTAGCTCACATTTGATGCCTGGGTGGCATATCAGTCGAGGCATTTATTCGATCAATTTGAAGCTTCATTTCCTGAGCTTGCAGACAAGGCAGCGCAAGCCGCCAATTCGGTTTGCTCAAAGTGAAGAGAGGATATACATTTGCATAATTTCTTTTTATTATCCCTCAGTAAAAGTCAGGATGCAAGAAACAGAAGAAAGAAACAAAGTTGTGCTCGCAACAAAAAGCTTCTTTTATTGAAACTGTGAAATCCTTGACGTCTTAACCGTATACTGAATGTTCCACAAAACTAAAATCCAATTTGTATTCATGGCTTTTTCATTTTATGAAACTGCTGGCAGCTGTTTTCTGTCAACTTACCTTTTAGTCAAATCACAAGTTTTTTTTCTTTACACTCAGTCTTTCCTTACTTAAAAAAATATTTCCATGTTTCACCAGGGACAGATTTGCATATTGTTTCCGTGACGAGAAACACGCACAAATGATTAGCCTCGTCATGCTATATTTTACTCGAGCAGAACGTCCTCTCTGTGGCTGACCGGCAGATGTTTGGCTCACCATAATCGCAGGCTGCATCTGAACCCACAACACCATATATAACTATATTAATGAGCAAACAGCTAGCTATGTAGTAATTTTGCTGTCATCGTTATGGTAGGCTTACTCAAAGTGCATCAGTCAGTAAGGCAAACAAACAGCCTATTATGAAAAATACACGGCAGGGAAAGTAAAATATTTCTTCCATGAAAAGAGGACGAGTTCATCTCTCCAAGATGAAACTTTTATACTGCTGAGACAGCCAAGGAAATGGGGTATAACGAAAAATACGAATTACATTATTTTCCTTTGTTAGCATAGTCCCATTTCTGTTTTAATTCTGTTCCAGACTTTATTTTTTTTCACCAAACTTTAATTGACCCATCTCATCCCTGACCCCTCAAAAAGTTGCAAATGTTTAAACTTTAAAGTTGCACAGGGCAAAACTTAAGAAAAAAAGGCCCGACTTTGTAAACAGCAGACTCTCCTTCTGTAGTTTCTGTCTCCCTCTAAGACCCGCCCACTAGGAAGTGGCTAAGGTCAGCGTTACCACTGGTAGCACGAGGCAATACCTGGACCCTATATAGGTTGCACAGCTAGGCCAACTCCTCCAGGACTGCACATCAACATGTGTCATTGCCAAAAGGTTCTTTTGTATTTCCCAGTTCAGTCTGAGAAGCATGGAGACAAGCGGTTACTACAGGTCTGTATAGGCCAATTAGCGGGACTGTTATCTGCTTCATTGTGCAAGAAAGAACAGGATGAGCACTGCTAAAGCTACAAAATGACCTCCACCAGGCCACTGGTGTGATTGCCTTTGACCAAACAATGAGAAACAGAGGTGCACACAGACCTCTACACCCTAACTGCAATTAGATATCAGGATAAAATGCTTGAGCAACTCTGGGACATTATATATTTCAGTCCTTCCGATACTGCCAGGTTGCACCTCCGACTGTCCAGGAGATCAGTGATGCCCTGGTCCTATCTCGGAGGAGATCCTCTAGGACATCATCCATCATCTCATAGGAGAATGCATGTATACATACATACATAAATGGATGTAGACACATTAGAAGGAGTGTTGCTGGAAGTTTGAAGATTGGCAGGTACATTAATGCTACTTAACTCACTCTTACACCCCATCTTTATTCAGTTTGCTCTGCTGCTGAGGACAGACACTTCATTAGTGTGATGACTCATGACTAAAAGAAGCAGTTCACACGGCTGGTGATATAAATAGAGCCGCCTGTTGAGCCCCTTGTGAACTTCATGGGATGGGGGGAGGCTTGCCATGTAAATACAATCCCCTCCCTTTCACTCTTATTATCATAAGCTTTTTTGTTGTTCAGTCACCCTTTAAAGATGCATAGTATACACTATATTTACACTGTGATGCTTGCAGAGAGTGTGAGCGTGTTTGTGTGTTTTTATTGCCCTGCCTGTGCAAATGTGTGTGCATGCTAGTATTTATGTAGCTGCAACATCCGGACTATAAAAGTGCTCTAATGTTGTAAATTATAGCACAAACCAATAATCTGTAAGCGCTTATGTCTTTGAACCCTCTAGGTCATACATGTACTTATCATCATTTATGTGTCATAGGAAGCTATAGCCACATAACACTTGAGGCATTTTGGTTTTATCTGCCTGTCTCTCTCCCTCACACACACAGAGACACCCACCAACACACAAACACACACAGAGGGCCTCTGAACTCTCCACCCACTACGTCTGTGTCTCTAAGTGTAAATGAGTCCAGCACCTCATTTTAAAGCACAGAGCTGACCTTCTTTAAAAGGCCAAATTTTACATTTTCAACCCATATGTGAAAGAGGGTGCACGTTTAAAAATAGTCCACATGCATTTATCATCTCCTGCCTCTCGGAGAGCCTCATAATCAATCCAACAGCCGGCTGGATGACTGGGGGACTGGGCAAATCCCATCATGATAGCAGTATCCAGTCTACAGCAGGCTTTAATGTACAATCAATAGCAAAGACTATTTATCTAATGATTGAGACAAAAACAGCATCAGTAAGTGTAACGTGTCCATCCAAGCATGTGATCAGTGAATGAGTAACATAACGAGGTTGTTTTTTTTGTTAATGTGCAGCCACAATCATTCAATGTGTTTTAGTTTTTGTTCACAAATGAAGAACAATGAAACAAACAGCAAGGGATAAAAGTAGGTTTTTAAAATTACCATTAGAAAGAACTATATAGAAACAACAGGCACACATACACAATATACACAAATTTCACCACATTCCCATAGGGTCTTAGCAGTGTTTTTTATTTTCTAAAGACACCTCAAATGTGTTTGTATGTTTATATTTTTATAATTAAAAGTTAAAGTAGCAGAAACATGTCAGAGACAGGCATAAGCCACAGTTTGCTTTTCTTCTGTTTCTCTCTTCATGTTTCTTGTGTTTTGTTTTTCCCGTTGCTGATGTTGTTTACCCCTGCCTGAGTTTTTAATTGTTTCCTCTACGTGTTTCCTCTGCGTATGTATTCCAGTATTGTGCCATTTTTTTGGCAGTCATTTCCTGTTTTATTTGTGTAATCACTTTCCCTATGCGTATTAGGGTGTTTTATTCCTCTTTCTGGTGCTCTTGCGATTGCCTGCTCTTGTTCCTTATTACCCTGCTCTCTGGAGTGTGTAATTTTTTTCAGGGCTTCGTAGTTGCTCTGGTTCAGTTATTGCTCCCATTAGATGGCTTTTCTCTTTGGATGTTTTGTTTGGTTGGGTATTTTTTTTATTTTTTTTTTGCTTTGCTTTCTTTCTTTCAGCTTCCTACCAAAATCTGTCTGCCATGTGTGTTTGAATGTGGATCCTCCTTGAAATGAACTTGAACAGCCTTTTATTTTGCATGAGCAATGATATGTAAATGTTTGAAAAAGGAGGTACTACAAATAAATAACTAAATACATTTATATTAGCATTTTTGTTGCAGATGGCATAAAAAGTTCCTGAAGTGCCACACATGCAGAAAAATGATCTCCTGCAGAGGAATGAATCTTGTCAAGCACAGCAGCAGCACCTTCTGCTTGAGTCATACCTGATAAAGTGAAATAAAGTTTAGAGTAAATAGACTAGAGGATGGAGGCCAAACCCACCAGAGTTTATATGGCAGAAAAGTCCAAATAGAAATTTTAATCCCTCAGAATCAGCCATGTGTACAGAAACTTGATGGGTAAGAAGAACTGCAAGCTGCCAAAGAGAGAATCTTCCCAGATGCTCAGAACCAACTACAACCTCCCTCTATAGATCAAACACCTCCTGTCTTTTTTACAAATACAGACACCACGATACAGCTGCACTAATTTGATGTCATTTCTGTCTATATGCAGATGCATTACCTTGATCAGAAGCCGGATGCTTCCCGAGGCCTTGTGGGAAATGTAGTACCAGAAAGAGAGCTTGCAGATGGCGCTAGACTCTTTCCACACAGAGCTTCTAATATGAGCTTTATCGCCTTTCAGTCCCACTGGTGTTGCTTCCAAATAGACAAAATGCCCTAAAGGGAGAGAAATGAGGGAAAGTGATGAAGGAGAAAGGCACTGAGCCAGCAAGTGAGCACAGAGGTTGAAAACTATCTCTGCACTGGTGGCTCTGACAAATCACATGAAGGTCACAAAACGTGTTGGGGGAAGGAGGGCCAAGAGTTACGGGGTAATCTCTGACACATCTTCTAATGTCTCACTGCCTTTGGCACAGGGGAGCACTCAAACTTTTTCAGCCAAGTAGAGAAAGGAGAAAGTAGGAAAATGAATGAATGAGAAATAAAGAAAGTGTATCTTCTTTGCACTCAGCATTAGCGACATTAATAATAATAATCTTACATCGGGTTTTTTTGTAGTCTATGGCTTTTGTATCGCTGTTACTGAATATTTTAAACACACTTAAAGTTTAGATATAATTCTTCTGATTTTCATGGAATCAAACTCTATTTTTTTATGGTCTACATTTTTCAGCAGAATATTAAGATTCAGTCGACCACCAGTCGGTTTTAAGTTGGCTTTTCAAGAAATGATGCAGCATGTAATCTGGTGTTCCCACAGCTAGATCAGAACTGTATTAAGACTTTCACTGTGAAGCACTTAGTGGGAATGTAATATATTTCTCACCACAGTTTGCAATAAACATGAATGCCTCTGCAAGACATCCTCATTTTTGGTGTTTTTGCAGATAACAAAGTAATGGGAGAAGAAGCCACAGCAGGGTATTCTTCTTCTCCTCCTCCTCCTCCTCGTCCTCTGTAACAAACTCCCTTTTCTCTGCTCTGTTGTTGTCTGGTTACGGCTGTTATTGCTGACTGACTTCTTTATTAGAACATTATTTGTCTGGCTGCACAGTAAACTGACTCAGAAAAAGCTTTTTGTTTTGTTTCTTCACAGAAAAGCTGTTTAGCAAGTGTTTCCTGTAGTATTTACCCACACTTGCTGTGACTGTTATTCTGTTTGGCAAGGTTTGAAATGATTTATTAAAGCAACAGATATGTCTCTGAGCTCATCACTCCCTGCACATATCTTACACATAGAAATTGGAGAGTGATGGGAAAAGTTGCCCCCAGAGCTTGCAGGAGGATGCTGGCGATGCAGGACAGGAGCGCTGACATGCCAAAGAGAGGGAGATGGGAAATCGGCAGATGTTAAATCCTAATTTGAGGGTGTGTTTGGTAAATGACATGAGGAAAGTGCGGCATGTTACGTGTGCATGACACAGCACGCACGGGGGTCAGCCAGCAAGCTAGCAGACTTAGCTTCAACAGCAGCTCGTGTCACATTTGAAATCTTTTGCACATCCTTAAGAGCAAATGGGTGTGGACATGAGACCTCTGACGGGAGTGTCCTGCAGTCACTGTAATGTTTGCAGCACATCTTTTGGGTTAAGTTTGTTTGGGGATGTGACCTCCATGGATCAGTCAGGGCACACAAACGCTCGATAAGATCAGGGTCTGGAAAGTTTGCAGGCCGGGTCAAGGTATCTGCCTTTTTGTTGCATTCCTTGAGCTGTTTTACTTTTTGTGGAGGCTGGAAAGGCTGCAGCCATCCTGGGAATCCCTTCCCTGCACACAATCTGACTTTTAAAAATAGTTTCTAAAT